CATAATGGCGTTTGGGTATTATCTTAACAGTGGTGATAAGGAATCACTTGAGTATAGCATTTTATATACACTCCGAAGAACATTCTTTGATTCTTTTGTGCTAACCTCTTGTCAAACGTGCACTTTCCACCCACCCCTTTCACCCACATTTTTTCAGACGGGTCACTTGCTCTGGAGTATGACACATACCATACATTATCGTTTGGTTTATTCAAATGCTGAACCCAGCCATCACGCCAGTGGTCCTGCCGTGCATCACGCTGCACTCACTACCGGGACAAGTGCTGTGTTTGGTCATCGAAAATCTGACTCGCATTTGACCCAACACGTAGCCGGTCTGGCATCGCGCGCGTTTAGTCTTTCTCGAAAAATTTCTGACCCATGCCCATCTCCACCGGGGACAACTCCCTCATCTGTTTCTATCGGGACCTGTTTAAAACGTCGACGTCCCGACGCGGATCAGGAACTGAATGCCACCGGACTTGTCGACTCACATCCTGTGGGAACCGACACTGGTTCTACATCTACGTCCTCTCATCCGTTGTTCTCACACCTCTCACGTGATTTGCCTCGTGGTTTCCTCTCCGAACCTCACTGCGCTTGCATCGAAGCCGATAGCGAAATGCATTGTACACCCACGATCGGCCCCGTACATTCGCCATTTGTAAATAGAGCTGTCCCAAGTGCGCTGTTAGATGAAACTGTATCCAGTTCATTGGTCCTCCTCCGAACCTTGCACACTATCAGCCGTCTTTGGTATACGGTCCATGACGCCTTAGATCCGTTCCCAGTTGTTTCACCGGTACGTTTTACTAGCTTTGCGCGTTGTATTTCAGATTATCATTTCTCCTTTTTCATTTATGCTCATACACAATGAGGTTTGATAGATTATTCAGTGCATTCGTCTAGCTTACTCTAGTTCGTCGTCTTTTCCATTTGAATGGAACTATCTCTGTGTATATTGCCTCGCCATTGGTTCAAACCACTCGTAATATTTGCAGTATCGGACACTGGCGATTAATTCTATTTCAATGGTTCATTAATCGGTGTTGTTGGTGACGAAAGGCATCTACTGCACTAAGACTTATGGTGCATGCAAAACCTGATTAAAATACCCTTCGCGTCGAAGAGTTCATACGTAACGGAAAGAAAACAAAACTAGGCTCATGGTTTATGCATTATTACCTACACTACTCCGCTCTGTGCACGTCATCCATCTCCATTCATTTTTTCTGTTCGACCACAAATGTGTACTGAACTGATTCGGCTGACCAGGCCGTATGCACTGATGGTCGCACAGATTTCCTCTGGACACCTGTCACCAACATGTGTTACTATTTTTTTTCACAACTAGTCCTCCATTCTTCCCTATAGAAGCACACCAAAACGGGCGCGTTTTTAGCTGCTCATTGTTCTGTCATTGACCCTCCTAGGCAGTTCAGTACCGTTGCATGCGGCTGTTATTGTCCCCGCTCAAACATTAACTTCTTTTCTCAATCGTGCTCCGTTTTGCCCAGTAAGTGCTATTTCCCAACTGTAGGTGTCACTTCTTTGGATACCTAAAATAGACTGCTTGGGTTCTCGCATGTTCAAGGCTGAAGTCACGCATTCCGAATCCATTGATCGGATACATTTTAGTGGCGCGAATTGGCCAGTTTGTTTCATGCGGTAGTGGCACCTGTGATCGATTTCGAACCTGTTAGTTCTCGATATACTAACACAAGGGATATTGCTTGATAAGTGTTGTGCGTACGAAAAAAGAGGAACGTAAACTGAAACATCGTGCAGCTCTTTTGGCACTACAGAATGCTTCCTTTACTTCGCTCGCGATCGAATTCATCGTATAGTGGGATTAAATCCTGTTTGCGACTATAAACATTAGAGAATACTCCACTCCATTTTTGCATAACTGGATGGCCTACTTTCAATTGTCCAGTAGTAATTATCAACTTAACTAAATCAGCTTGCCCCTCGCACACTCCGGTCAGTGCCCACAGGAGATAGGTACCACACGTTCCCGCACACAGTCGGATTGGCAAACTACTAACCTCACGCGTTAAGTCTTGGATTTTGATGAACGCACGTGTGAGCCCCGTTTGATCACATGAACCGACCCGAGAACCTGCAGTCCTGATTGGGTGAGTTTGCGGGGAATTCTTGCTAGCTAACTCGGTTGGTTGAGTAATGGACACACACGTCCATCAACTGGTTCTTACTTTTTAGTGGAACTTAACCGACCACAGCGTTCTGTTTATCCAACAGTCCGGTAACATCCTCGTACAAAACAATATGTGATCTTCGACTGTGCAAGATCGTGACGAACCAAACACAGAATTAAAAGCTGTGATCCAGTGGTTGTATTGCTGGCAAAATGATCAAGAAGCAAGAATCAGTGACACGAAAAAAACGAAACAAATTTTAAATTAACGGGTGCTCATCACAGCCTTTCGACAAACAAGTTTCCAGTGAACAGAGTGAATGCACTGCACACGCGGGCTCTCAGTGTGTTGCCGTGATCGAAATACCGTCGATTTTGCACGTGAACCGCTTCCGTAATTGTGAGATCATGCTGTCAATTGCGCATGTAGTTGAGCTTGTTTGCCTAAACATTCACACGGGACTTTGGTGCCGTATCTCCATACACACTGGTGGTACGCCATTTGAAAAATTCAGTTGGTTTATTCGGTATATATATATATNTATATATATGAGGTTATTGTGACAAAGATACATCTCCTGGGTACAAGTATATTGATGAAAAGACAAAGGACTACCGGATGCACGTTCCTGACGAGCGGCACGAACAGTCGAGTGCTTCCAGGGAAATTTTGTCCAGTTGTTCATATACTAGTTGTTTTACATAGCAACTATTCTATCGAACAAATCAACCGAATTTTCTAATAGTGTCTATTTTATGCACCTTGATTAGAAGTGAATATTTGACTTTCGCGAACAAAGTGGAAAGTGTCAAAGTCGCTTGGTTGTTATATGCAGTTTGTTTATCAGCAATTCTCCCATTATCGTCTCTTCCTTTAATTTNTCTCCCATTATCGTCTCTTCCTTTAATTTTGTTTTGGTATTGCTCTTCCTGTATTTTTCGGCAAATTAGCTGATGTTCCGTAGTCCCAAATTGGCCATCAAGGCTGGTCGTCAACTGCAGGATGTGTTCAGTGTGTTGGCCGGTAATTTGCCCTCTTGGCTGATCCACCTGATCACTACTTGTCCCTTCCTGTTCCCTTTCGAAATCCGACGTACCTTTTTCTACTCCTTCCATTTTGATCGAGACCGGACGTTACTGCGATTTCAGGTACGTGATTCCCCCTTTTTCTCTATTCGATTCGTTAAAAGATCAGTTTTGTTACTGAGGCGGTTATCTTTAATCCCTGTGATATCTCCTCAAGCGATTGTCATTCACCAATGTGGATAATCGTTACATAGGTTTGATTTTTATACACGAGGAGAGGATTTCATGGTATTTTGACCAGTTTTATCTTTCTGAGACATTCATCTAAAGTGCTGAATCTTAAAGGACAGAGGATGCTTGTGTACCGATGTCTTCACAGGATAGGATAATGCTCATTCTGGGATAAGCGTAATCGAACGCTAAACGAAGCTCCTTATTGTGATTAAATTCGTTGACACGAAGACGTAGTGCTCAGGTCCCAAGATGTACCTCCTCAGGGCGTATGTGGAGAACTGTTGCGAGAACATGGTTCAGAACAGTCACTATGACGGGGCCTCGAGTGTTGGATTGAACCGGATTAGTGAAATCCGATGAAACGATGACGATCACGTCGGCTCAAAAACGTTTTTTGTTGTTTTACGGTGGTGTTCTCGCATTTGCTTTACTTCGTTCTCATGTTCATAAATGCTGGTCCGTTGTTTGTTTCCTTTTTCACTTCTGTATCGATTTTTATATTGTATGGGAAAA